GGGTCAGGAGAGGTCTGCCACGCCATGCGGTCACCTCCGGGGCAGGCGGGAATCGAACTCATGCGGAAGTGGCTTTAGATTCTCAGTGCTGTGCTTTAACCCGCTGCGCCACCAGGGAGGGCCGCTTTTATCTTTATTAATGGCTCCTTTTTGCTTGACTCAGCTTCATTTCAGTGTTTTTGCCTTAACTTCTTGAGTTAGTGCTTAATTTACTTACATTTAAAGCAATGCATGTCTTTGATTATTGCATTAGTTATAAAAAATAGGCTTGATGTTAATGTATCTTCATAAAACCTTCTAAATGTACGCTGCAATAAAATCTTGGTTCTAAGAGTCAAAGACAAACCTTGAAAGCTGATCATAGATATGAGGCATCAACAAGGGGAGGGTTGAAAACAGGTAGGAGCATAAGGGACTATAAGTGAGAGAACTGCAGTGATCATACATGAGGGGAGAAATCATACATTGTACCAAAAAAAAAAATTAATTAAAAAAATTTTAAGGCCCACCCTTGTGGTGCAGCGGGTTAAAGCACAGCACTGAGAAGCTTAAGCCACTTCCGCATGAGTTCGATTCCCGCCTGCCCCAGAGGAGATCCACATGGCTTGGCAGACCTCTCCTGACCCGCCCGCTGCTCCCCTCAGCAGTGTACTTCGTCTATCTGCCTGTTCTGCTCCCCACTCTGTCTCTGGTGAAGCCTCTCACCCTCCGCATCTCTGGCCTGTACCCCAGTTCTATATGAATAAATAAATAAATCTTTAAAAAAAAAAATTTAAAACCTTGGTTTCTGCTTTTGGCCCAGCTGCATTTTGAGAGCAGTGTTAACAGTCCCAGTGGCCGTTTCACCCTATTTTTGTTGTTATTTTCTATCTTTATTTCACTGTGATCTAAGAATACAGTTTGTATTATTTCAACTTCCTGGAACTTAAGGATTTTTTTGGGGGGGGTATGGAAAATTATGATTGGCTTTTTAAAACGTTACACTAGAAAGTGTTTTCTGCTTTCTAAGATTTAGAGTTCATACTAGAACTGCGAGATCAAAATTAAGTATTCAGTTCCTCTATTTTTACACATTTTTTGGTCTACTTTTCTTCCACGAGTTAGGGAAGTCTCCTAGTCCTCTTATATAACTGTTGAGGTAGTTTAAAATTTTTTCGCGGATTTTTCCATTGCATATTAAACATGATGTTCTGGGGACTGTGCTCTTTTTAAACTCAGGGTAAATGACACATTCTTATGGCACTGCCCGCTTCTCTCCTGGTTTTTGACTTAGAGTAATAGCATGCCCTCCTGCTTTCTCTCACGTTCAGTGTGCGTTGCCTTGTTTTAGATGAAATGTAAGTATGAAGTCACACTATTTCACGGCCAGCAAGGCCCAGTCACAAAGTGCCAGTCCCCACAGCAGTGGAGCAGTTCCAGCTCCCCCAACTCCTTTAGTCTTCAGTTGCAAATGGGGCCATGTCTGGGGTGTGGGAGGAGGCCCTCAGGAGACAGGTAGCAGAATCCCTGCAGACTGGTAGGATCTAACTTGAGAATCTGTTTCAGCACCATCTTGGAATTTTTCTCTAAATCCAATTTAGGATTTTTTTAATTAGGTAAACTGATCTCATTTACATGCATGATCACAACTGGTAGTATGAACTTAAATGATAAAGAGAATAAAGTTCTCTTTATTTTCAGTGTTTTTCTATTGAAGGCATTTTCTCTCAGCTATTTGCTTGTGTTCTCAGTACCTATAGTTTGGAAGGAGACAAAGTTTCTTTTCTGTTCTTGTGAACGCAACATACCTGAATAAGGCATAGAGTAAAACTTTCTATAAGTGACTATCACAACCAACAGAAGGAGAAAACTAGTTAATGAAATGAAAACTCCAGCACCTCACTGACAGGTGGCTGCAGCCTGCCCCAATGGTATAACCTACAGTATTGTTGTCATAGAAAGATGAATAAACATTTTAAGAGAATTTCTAAATGATTAGTGAGGTTTAGCATTGATATGAGCCTATGGGGGGTGTGTGGGGGAGGGACGGTATCGATGTTAAGGTATATAGAAGGCATAGATTAAATTTTATAAATGTATACTGGGTTTATCTAAACACCAACTGTCAAGTCTTTCAAGGTACATCTGGAATGAAAATAGGTAGGTAAACAATGAATTAAAGACATGGCTGTTAAGGAAAATTGTACTTCTTATTTACATTAGCCATATGTTAACATTTTAAAAAAATGTCAACAGGATAGTTCTTGATTATGAACTCATGATACAAAAGCTTCAGTTGTGCTCATGCATTTGTTCCTCTTAATATTTTCAATTACTTACTGAGAAAGAAAACCCTCAAATTGTCAGAGAGCAAATAAAATTACCAAGAAGTAAAGATGTTTAAATACATTTTAAAATAATTAAATGTATGTCAAGTGCACCAATGAGCATGCAAAGAATAATTTGCATAACTTTCTTTCCAGAGAAGAGCTGAAAAATGGAAACAGTGAGAAAAATTTAGAATGCTCAGTATTTCCCTTCCAATCTCTTTTATGACTTAGCATGGCTAGATAAGAGAATTAGAAAACAAAAAGTGTCCTTACCTAGAAGTGCCACCAGGGTCAGCAGAATCAGAATGTGCTTCATTCCTTTTCTTTTAAGAAAGTATAGGAGAATGCAGAAAATTATTATTTCCAAAATCTGGAAATGAAAAAAAAAGTATAAATTACACTTCTTTTGGATTTTGCAAGTGTTGTGGATGGGAATTCCTAAGGGTAATTATACTTTGAGACAGTGTAAGCAGACTCAGCCTTCTAGCCCAGGTGCTGACATCACCTGCCTGCCACTGACACCCAACTCTACGTCTCCCATCCTACCTCCTGCAACTCCAGGCTCACGTATTCAACCGCACAATACGAAACGTGTCCACATGTGTGTGTAACAGCCCTATCACCTGCATATGGGCAACACCTAACTCCTGATCCTGTCTTCACAACCTGTTCCTCCTGCGGCCTTCACGCCTCACATTCCCATACACCCCGCTGTGCAAATCGAAAATGCTTCCCTTTCCCTCATTCCCTACTAGCCTCTGACAATCCTAATTCCTCTGATTTTACAACCATTTAGCCACCAAAGGAATTAACACAATTTGGATAATGAAAGATTTCAACCATATGATATACATATATGGGATTTATAATATATCAAATTTTATGTGTCCTCTAGCCAACCTGAGAAACAGCTGCACCAATACCACTGAAGTCTCTGGGCTGTTCCTCCTCTATGAACTTCTCAGGAAACACTGCACTGAATTTTGTGTCGGCCATGGGTGCACTGGCAGGTAGGTGGTGGAGAGCACTGGGTCTGGCAGGTGGAGTCTTCTTTTGTATCCTCTAGTATAATTATCCTGAGTGTGTTTACCATTTTCTAAAGCTCATCCCATTTCTTGGCACCTTCAAGTATCCCCTTCATTAGTTTTGCATGTCTGGACTCTGCACATGTGAAATCATACATACTGTTTTCACTTGTTTGCTTTTTTTCCATTATGCATTGTGTTTGTGAGATTCATCCAGGAGGATACATGTTGTGAAAATATAAATCAGATCTAGTCATTCCTGTGCTTAACCAGCCCAGAGCTTCTTATGCCATTAGGAATAAAATCCATACTCCCTCCAGGATTACCAAATTTGGTAGTTTTCTCTGATGTCTTATATGGTGCACTCCTGGATATGCCACTTTATGCCAGTCACAACTTCTATAGGGCGTCTTTCACGCTCAGGTCCACTGCTATTCTTGGCTTAATCCTGCCTTTGGGCCTTTGCACTGCCTTGGTGGGCCTGGAATGCTCTTTCCGTGATCTTTGCACAATGGTTCCTTCCACTCGCACACACAGCTGTCCCCTGAGAGGTCTTCCCTTACCACTTGGGTCTATCATTTGCTCACATTCCCGACTTCAGGCAGCTACTACAGAGCGTTTCGGCATCCCCCAGGGTACTTCCTGTTCGTATATGTCTCCCGAGCCAAGGCATCAGCTCTAAGAGGACATGTAATTTATCTGTCCTGCTCTATCTCCAGTGACACAATCATTCACTCTAAGGAATTAAATGAGGAAATGATATCTTAAATTTATCTGAACTTTCTAAAATAACAGACCTAATGTCTAATAAGCCAGTTGTTCAAACTATGAACTGACTGAATGTAAGATTTTCTTATCCTTAACAAAACTCTAGTGTAAGAAGTTTGAGTTCATAATTTTATTTTTGTTTTGTTTTGCAGCCCTTAAGGTAACCTAACATCATGCTTTTTCTTCAAAGAGATAGACCAGAGTCATAAATATGAATGTTCATTTTTCTGACATCAGAGAGGTGAAAGCGACCACCACTAGTTTTTTCTTAAAAATTACGAGAGTTGGCAACTTCACTATTTTCAGGACAGCATCTACTTACAGAGTCTTCCCTCCATCAGCATAAATCTCTGTGTCCATGCAAGGTTTTGCTTGTTTTGGCTTTTTAATCCTTTGTGGGCATGTAAAACAGCAGGACCACATTTTCCTCATTTAAAAACCTTTTCATCTAATATGGAAGATTAACTTATCCCTTAGTCTTCTTTTCCTGGGAAATTAGGCCAATTATTTTAACTTTGCCTTTCAGGACTTATGGCCAGTCTTTAATTTGATTGAGACACGCTATAAGAGCAATTAAACTCCTACCTCTTTGCCTTCCTGAAAGCTGCCATCAAACATTGGGTGTCCCAACCAATAGCCCCTGGGCTTGGTCTCCATCCACCGCAGGCTTCATTTTCTGATGCGATATAATTGCAAAAAACTCAGAGCAGTCTTCTAAACCACAGTATACATGGTCGCTGGGCAGAAAAGTTGTTCTTGCACTAACACAGCACATTTGCTATATATATTAGCATGCTGATTGCTCTTTTTGGGGTGAGGGTAGTTAAAAGTTCTAAAAATCATGTGATTCCCCCACCCCTGATTCTGTCTTTGTGATTTCAGTAAATAAAGCCTGTCTTCTCACTATTTGTGGAATGGCATGGCTGCACTGGGTTCTTTTTGTGATGGGTGGTCAAGGGGTTCCCGTGAATAAGATATTCAAGTAGCACGATCAGTGTTAATTTTTGTCAAATAACATTTACCTTGCTGAAAATATCAATAATAAAGCAGCTGTGATTTCTACTGGTTGCTGTGACCCAGGAAGAGGCAACTTTGCTGACTGTTAGCTCCGAAGTCAGAAGTAATAACACCTCCTACTGCATGTCTGCTCACCACATGTTCTGCTTGAACAAATCCATGCATTCTCACAACTTAAGGGGGTAGGTATATTATTATTTTAAAATAATTATTTGTTTATGCATACAGAACTGGGGTATATAGTCCAGGGGTGTAGGGGCAGTGAGAGGTTTCACTTAAGACAGAGTGGGGAGCAGAACATGCAGATCTACAAAATACCCTGCTGTGAGGGGAGCAGCAGGCGGGTTAGGAGAGGTCTGCCGTGCCATGTGGATCACTTCTTGGATGGGGACCAAACTCATTGAAGTGGCTTTAGCTTCTTAATGCTGTGCTTTAACCCACTGCACCACCAGGGAGGGCCCAGGTATATTATTATCCCCACTTTATAGATGACCCAGGCTCAGAGGTGTTAAGTGAAGCAGCACTGATAGGCAGATAATGGTTCCATGAAGATGCCCATATTCTACTCTCTGATGCTGTGCATAAGCTGCTTTCCATGGCAAAGGGACTTTGCAGATGTGATAAAGATTACATGCCTTGAGATGGGGGAGAGTATCCCAATTCTGAATTATCCAAGGGGGTCCAATGTTACCACACAACTCCTTAAAAGTTGAGAACCTTCCCAGCTCTGGCCAGAGAGCAGTAATCTGAACTAAGGAATGCTGGTGGCCTCTAGAAGTTGAAGCAAGCTAGGAAATTCTCCCCCAGAGGCACAGAAAGGAACACAGTCTGCCAATACCTTGATTTTAGTCCAATGGGACCAATGTTGGATTTCTGACCTTCAAAACTGGAAGAGAACAAATTTGTGTTGTTTTAAGTCATAAAGTTTGAGATGATTTGTTATGAAACAGGAAACTAGCTCAGGTTTTGGTACCTGAAACACTAAAAGACATGCTTTCTAGAGAACAGAATCTTCAGGATGGCTTTAACTTCCTGATTCCAGGTTTTCTGGGCTGCTTCTCTAAAGTTTACAGGCAATCGTTACTGTCTTTAAAGGTTTAAAAAAAAAAGGGGGGGGGTAGGGGGCTGCTGGCTCTTCATGAGATGATCTGACAAAAGATCTAGTCAAAATTTCACCACTGGATGTCCCATTTCTAGTTCCAAAGTCTGACCCCACAGCAAAATCGTCCTCTCTCAAGTTATTTTTGGAAAATAAAGCCTTTGCTAAGACTTTCTTGTCCAAAAGAAATGAGCTCTGCAAAGGTTCTTAAGAAAAGGATGAGATCCTCACGGGCCTGCTTTCATCATTTCTACAGGTATGTAGAAGGTATGGAGTGTGAACCCCCAGAGGCAAACTTCCCGGTTTTGAAGTCTGGCTGGGCCATTTAGTATTTATTGACATGTGGCCATGGTCCCTCCCTACCTCAGCTGCAGGGGATAACAGTGCCAGACACACTGGGCTGCTGTGCAGATACAGGACTGGACGCACAAGGAGCCTGAGTGCTGGCTCTGGTTTCCGCAGAATCCTGCCCTAAGTCAGGCCTGCAGGGGTTACTCACCTTCAGAAACAAAGCAAATGAACATCAGGCAACAGATACTGAGATTTTAACCAAAAGCCCCATCATTTTATCCCTTCAGGTTTTTGACACCTGTTGGTGGGTTTTGAAGCAAATTTGTAAGAATGTTGACTTAATAATCAGATTTCAGTACAGAATGACACCAAGTGGCAGGCTGGGCACCTGCTTCTGCTGATGTAATTTTTGGTCTGGTAAAGAGAAAATGAGCACCATGCAGGTTGTTTTGTGATGGATTCTATGTTCAGAAAAGAGATTTCAATTTGAATGGCCTGTAGGAAATTTTGGGCAAATCAGTTATAATGAAGCCTGCCAAAGAACATTAAGTCATTGAGGCGGAGGGCCAGGGGTTCTGCAGACCTGTATTGCTCAACAAAAAGTCCCTGGAGAAGAGGACCCATGCTCGTATAACCCTAGGCCTGCAGGATTAACACAATTAGGTATCCTGAAGGATGTCTAGCTTTTAACATGTTAACAGAGATGACGGATTTTTCTTAGGGAGCTATGTGATATAGCAACTCACCACACTAGTTTGACCTTGAAAACTCACTCTCTCACGCTTTTAGGCAAGCACCAGGTGGGCCTACCAAGGGCAAAAATACAGGCTAGGAAAGGCTGTTTAGGGGTGAGCAAAGGCACTCTTCTCTTTACTGGCTGGATGACCTCTGGCCTCTCAAATCCCCAAACAAGATGATTCTGGAAGGTTTCCACTTCCTGTAAGCCTTCTCTCATCTAGTAGAGGTAAATGCTATCTATCAGTCAGAAATATGTAGTGTATTTCCATAATCTTTCCTCCCTTCACACCTGTTATTAGAAATGTAAAACTTTATAGAGTTTTAAGTAATTTTACTCATTAAATAGTTATTTAATAGTTATTTTAGCAGTTCTGAAAGACAATTCAAGTATTGCTTATACCTGGTGTTGTACAAGAAAACAATTGGATGAATGGTACTTCAAAAAAGTCTAATTACTATAATTATGATCTTTGCAGTCATGAGTTGCAGAAAAAGGAAATATTAATTACTTAGCTATGTAACAGATTTAAAACCAAACCAGCTCAAAATCTAGATTGATAAGTTCTAAAGTCTTTAGAGATAGTCATATAATGGATTAAATTATAAACTAGTACTGATCGATTTCCCATGGTCTAATACAAAAAGTGTTATATACAAATGTGACTTCATTAAAAGTGTCTTTCATGCTATCCTATAAATATTTGCAGTTATTTACTTTTAATGACAGTTGCCTTAAAATATACTTTCATTTTACAGGAATATGATTTCTCTCAGGACTATAAAATTGTAGCTACAGGACTTCTCTGGTTGTATAGTAAGTTGAACGAGTAAGTGAACACAGAAATGGATGAATTTGTGTTTTCTACGGAAAATGGAAAAACACAGTTAACTTCAGTTTCTTGTGGAAATCTAAGGTAAGTTCTGCCTTTTTAAATAAGACAATGTTACTCATTCCAGAAATACATTTCATGCATGTTTAATCTCCAAAGATTCAATTTAAGGCTACTAATTTTCTGGTCACAAAGTATGTGATCCTTTTCTTACTGAATGAAGAATGAGATTGCCGTAGGCAATCTATAGTAATGTGTTGGTAGAATTTAAATACTCAACAAATCCTTTTAATGCTTATATTTGGTGAAAGCCAGAATAGCTAAAGGACTATTATGGCAGACAAGTAGGGACTCTAACAAGGAGGGTAGAGGGGAGAAGACTAATGTGAGTTGGGAAGGCCAATCCTAAAGGTTGATGGAGGGTCAGGAGTAAGGGGAGCTGCCAGTATAAAAGGAAGTTCAGGAGAGAAGAGATAAGGTCAGTTTTTTAAAAACTACATCTCGAGAAGTTACGGGACATCAGGTTGGGATGAATAATGGGCAAATGGAAGAGATCTGGCACATAAAAGGGGCCCAGGAAAGAAATGCAGAACTGGATTTGGAAATCTTTCTAAATGATGCAGGTGGGGTGGGAAATGAGATAATCTTAGAAAAACTCTGGAAGAGTGTGTAGCACGATTAGGCAAGAGTGGTACACTCTTGGTGGGTAACACCAAGAGCCTGGCCTCACCAAGTCAGAGCGGAAGATGAGAAACTGGGGAAACGGGTTGAGGACGCTAGACGAGAGAGAAGTAGACGGGCTATGCATAAATGGTGCACAGTGTTCACGAAAAATCAAGCCCACAACAGTAATTTCACATGGGGGACCTAGTGGGCTAAAGAGAGAGGAGCGTAAACAAAACTTAGAAAGTGGAGGAGAATTAGAATTTTTGTGGTGAGTGGAAGAAGTCAGATTAATTTTTTTCATCAGATGGGCTTTCGTATCTTTGTAAAATAAGAGAAAGGAGAAGACTGGGAGACTATAGACAGAAAAGAAGTATAACTGTTTTTCAGTGACCAGAATTATAAACCAGAGCGATAGACTTCTCGTCACATGGACAGGACTGCCTGGCAACACAGAAACACTGCATTGTCCTGTTGTAATAGCCACGACTGCCCTTAGTGCAAGTTCACCAACAAACAGGACCCTGCAAACACAATGCCATACTTCTAATAACTGTATATATAGGTTCACATTATCTTACCTGTGTTAATGGCAGAAGCTTGGTTCTGTGTGTTTTGACAACTTACTGAAATTCACATCTATTTTACCAACCTAGTTCTTAGTTAAATGTTCATACAGATATCAGTTTTCCTCTTATTACCTGCTTTTCCTAGGGTAATTCTTATTATCCTATCTAAATTAACTTCTATAACAAGTCACACATCAACCATTGCAGTGATATTCTTTGTATCAAGTAAAATATCCCAAGCAGTAGCTTCGTATTTCTGTATCGCTCATTCCACTTTTTATACATTTCTTAGTATTGCCTTATTGCGGTCTGTTCCTTCTCCAGATAATCTGTTGCACTGAGTACATTTTTGAAGAGGATATCTTGAATTAGGTTGATAAAGTAAAATGTATCTTAAGGTATTACTTTTACAATGGTGAGATTATGTTCATCCTGTAACATATGCATGTACCAGGGATCTAGATACTGTTGCTGCAGGAGTAGAATTCTTACCACATAGACCAGGAACTGCCAGCCAACAAAGTAATACTGCACCGTTCTTGCAGAGATGGTCTGAGTTATATTCGGAGCAAAGTTCACCAATAAATATGTTCCTGCAAATGCCAATGTCGTACCTTTAAATATGGAAAAGAAACCACGTTGAAAAGGGTTATTTAAGCTTTTCCTGTTAATGCAAACATTAAAGTAATGCTCAGTCTAAGTAAAGTGCTGACAGTTGCTCCATTAAAATGATTCATCAAACCAGCTCTAGGTTTAGCATCATGCAGACACTTGACGGCATTACCTTTAAAGGGGGATAAAGGCCAGGTACTAGGTGGGACAGGATATAACTTCTGATTTTTTTCCCTGTCATTCCAGATGAATCCTGGGCTTTTCAAAGAAGTTTCCCCCAAAGTTGGAGAAGATAAGGACACATGCATATGGAGATGAAAATGCATCCAAGCACCCATTTTCACATGGCTGGAGGGAGGAGGAGAGGAAGGAAAGCCAGGAGAGTGAGGGGAGAGGGGAGGAAGGAAGGGGAGGGGTGGGGCTGAGGGAGGAGGGGAGGTGAAGGAAAGGGAAGAGGGTGGAAGAGGGAGGGTAAGGAAGGTGGGAGGGAGAAGGTAAGAATGAATGGAGGAGGGAAGGAGTAGTGCAAGGAAGATGGAGGAGGAGGGAGCAATAAGACAGAGGAGAGGAGGAATAGGGTGTGAGGAAGGGGAAGGGAAAAGAGGAGGTAAGGATGGAGGGAGAAGGAGGTGGGAGGAAGGAGGGAAATGAAGATGGGGAGGGAGAGAGGGAAAGAAGGGAGAGAGAAATAGGGAGGGGAGGAACAGTGAAAGTGGGAGGAGGGAAAAGAGGGGAGAGTAGGTTGGGGAAAGGGTAGGTGAGAAAAGACGGAGGAGGGACAGAGAGACAGGGTAGAGGGGATGTGATTAGAGGAGTTTAGAGCTGGAGGGAGAGGAGGGAAACCCACCTGGATGCTGAAGGCCAACATAACTCAGGTTAAAAGGCTGGAACACTGCCCCAGAAGCTAACGGGACCCACGGGAAGCATGGACGTCATACTCAACTCAGACAAAATTTCTACTGATGAAATGGTGACAAGGCACAGAGATGGACACTACCAGTGAAGTTAAAGCAGTCCCTGAACCTCCGAGACCAACACAGACTACATTAGGAAGGACTCGAAGGGGATGGCAAGTGAGGTGGTTTGACGGAGAGGGCAAGTCTGCTCACGCCAGCCTGCCAGGGGAGGGGCGAGCAGAGTGAGGGGTACATGCAGTGGAATATTACTCAGCGACAGAAAAATGACTTCCTGCCATCTGTACAGCGCTGATGGACTTGAGGGGCAGTATAGTTAAGACCAAATTAGTGGCTCCTGGGAGGAAACACAGTCAATTGTATGGAGAAGGACAGGTTTGGACTTTATTTTTCTCTGTGTGTTTTGTTCATTTGCTTTACTTCATGAATGCATGTCCTCGTGCTAATCTCTGTATGGCTGTAATTTTAGCGTATGTGCTGCCAAAGCAAGCACAAATTTGGACTTTTGTGGTCAACTTAATGTAGTCTTTATGAAGATGTTAATTTATGATGCACACCTGAAACTCATGCTAGAATGTAATAGTCAATAAAATTATTTCAATAAATTCATGGTAATGGAAAAGCTAGATCTTTAATTTTGTCATGCGTTTATTTAACATCTCTCAGCAATGTTTTTTTCTGTTGTAAAGTGAGCATCTATTATCTTATTTTCAGTTTTACTTTATCTTAAGGAATATTTTCATCATGTTTAGAGGTTATCTTAACTTTTGCATTAAATACACACACACGTAGTGAGATGTATGAGCTAGCAGACTTGCTATTGCCATCGCATGTAACAGTAACTATGTCAAAAAGCTTTACTTTGAGATTTAAATAACTTGCATGACAAGTGTTTTATGTGAGATTCAAATGAAAAATTAAATCAGTCTTGTAATTATTGGAAGTAGCAGAATTACCCAACAGCACTTACCGAATTCAGGAAAATCCTTAAGACTAAAGATTGTAATCAGTTATTTGCAATATTCCCAACTTTGCTAAAAGCTACAGATCCTCAGTTTTTAGAGACACAATTTCTGCCATTCTTATCCTTTATGACTTGATCTAGGATGGTAGTCCTAGGTTCTGTTTAAATTAATTACAAGTAACTTAAACTCCCCCTCTTTAATTCCTTAAGCTATCATCAACTTGATAAAATACAACTTTGGAAGCAAAGGTAAAATATGTAATTTCTCTTAACTCCTCCAGGATTTGGAAATTCAGTATTCTTATTTTCATGGCAATGTAGTCATTTGTGCAAGTTCAGTAAAAATCTGTTCCTTTTACAGTAAGACATAACTGGAAATATGGGTATATTACTAACACTGATTAGGATGTCATAGTTGAAGATGATCATATTTAAGGAATTAAGATTGACTTATGGAGCTGATATAGCCCCTTGAAAAAGCTGTTGGTTTCCAGCAACCTTACCAGGTGACAAAGAAGGTCACATCTTGGTAGAATCAGGTATCTCAAAATATTTTGGGAACCTCTAAAAAGAGAATTAACAAAATGTATAGGTACTGTAGAAAATGTCTGATGGTAAGATTATGCATGGCTTCTGAGTTCTAAGAAACTTTTAAGAGCTCAATCTGAGATTCCACATGAAAAAAAATCCCACAGTTATCACTATTCCTTATGTATTTATATATAAAATTTATTGAAAAGAGGTTATAATTTTCTTTGATAAAAATGAGGGTGAGGCCCTCCCTAGTGGCGCAGTGGGTTAAAATACAGCACTAAGAAGCTAAAGCCACTTCTCATGAGTTCGATCCCCGCCTGCCCTGGAGGTGACCACATGGCACGGCAGACCTCTCCTGACCCGCCCGCTGCTCCCCCTCAGCAGTGGACTTCGTCGCTCTGCCTGTTCTGCTCCCCACTCTGTATCTGGTGAAGCCTCTCACCGCCCCTGCACCTTTGGCCTGTACCCGTTTTGTATGCACAAATAAATAAAATCTTAAAAAAAAAAGAGGGTGAACATGTAGAAAAAAATTGTTTCAATAATACACCTTGATGGAAATTAACTAGTGCCATTGTCTTAATATTCCTAAACTGGGCTAGATCCTGAATTCTTCTAACTTCCTCCAATATCTATTTATAACCTTCCAAATTAATGTTTCCAGTTTTTTTCCCTTCCTTTTGCCTAGAAATCATTGAACACTAACCATACCTTTTTCTGAAAACAGACACTTCCCAAAGACACAACTCCTATGTGGACAACTTTCATGCCTGTTGTATGTCATTCAGAAAGTTTAACCAGAACATCCATGACATCCTCAGAAACAGTCAAACTATAAAAGGTGCTTTAAACCCAGTATCTAAAAATCTTCAACAGGATTCCCTTAACACTCAGATTGGGCTTATAATCTACTCTATGACTCATTAAAAATTTTTTTTTCCCAAAGAAGTTCCTCTTATTCAACACCTGATTGCTTGTAAGACATAAGCCTAACCCTAGAAGTCCACAGTGAGGCCATCTCCTCAAATTGGAAATAGCTGCTTAATTGAACTGACCTATTCCCTGGGTTAAGGGACTGTTTCAATGATATGTAGAACAAATTACTCAGTTTTTAATATATGAAATGTTCAGGGAAGTTTCAGAGAAGGGAATTGCTGGGGTTCAGGCTGCCCTAAAAAGTGCCAAAATGGCATAGGTACTATTTTGGGCTAAGCTTTCCGGGAAACACAAGATGGAAAAATGATATTCCATGTCTCCTACAAGTAGGATAAATCTATGTGAATAATGCTCTCCTAGAAGGAGACATCACAGCAAAGTTTCATGGGCTTGTTTCTCCTGAGTAAATAAGCTCTACTTAGCTTACTTTATAAATTACTGTCCAAACCAAAAATTTCAAGAATTTGTCTAAAAAGTATTTAAGCATGTTGCTCTGTTTACATCAGATTCCATATTCATGTGGCATCTCCATGTGCATGAAATTAAATTTGTCTTTTTCTCCTGTTAATCTGTCTTGTGTCAATTTAATTATTTTCCAGCTATAAGGACCCACAAGGACAGAAAAAGATTTTTTTCCCCTCCTGAATACACTGTAGATCTACGTATGCAATTCTTCCTCATGTGACATCTGGTTTGCCAGACCACCTTTTTCCTTAACTAAAAACTGGAATACTCTTGAATTTTGTCCCTAGTTCCTGGCTGGATGTCAACCAGTGTTAACTGCTATTTTCTAGATTCTGAAATAAGGATTGACCTGAATTTTGACAGACTTAAGAGCTTGGTGGGTTTTGTCTTGTTTTTAATATTGAGCTAACCTAACACTAACCAGACTGCTGTCTGATTCTCTTGGTCCCTGCAATATATCTCCTTATCAGTGGGAGTCCATTATTGATATTTAGGGACACCAGTATTAATATACTCAGGATAAATTGGACTCCTTAATACCAAAGCATTTGGAATGATTTACTTTTAGTACAGATTCCTCAGACTTATGGCAGCTAAATCTTAAAGGAGCCCTGGATGGGAATCTCAATAATGTAATCAATCCAAATAGTCTTGAACAACAGAAAGCTTCCCATTCTTGAGTCAGCTTTGAAAGTGAAAGAGTCAATCTGTTCTCCAACCAGAAATGACAATTTGTTTGGCTAGATTACTGTTCTAGATACTTGAAATAAACCAAGCCAAACTCAAGTGTGGAAGAAGGAAGGAAGGACGTGGTTTTCATTTCACTATTAAAATTTCTTGAAATTCTATCTGAGGAAACCATTTATAGGTGACTTGAAGTAATTAAGTTACTGGTCTCTGGAGTGCTGATGAACTGTCATTTTTATTTCTATGATGACACTATCTGGACCTAAATCAAGTAGGATTTCACAGACTATTAGATTCAGTACTTTTGATGACTAAGGAAGAAGTGAGGTGGGAAATACTATAGTTCTTGGCTGACTGACGGAGAGAGAAACAAGTATTTTTTTTAAAGGGAAAAATGATCATTAAAGTTATTCAAAATTATGAATCCACTAAGATTCAGAGCACAGTACAAAGCTTGTCATTGAGTTAATAATAGTTGGCGATTCCTTGCAGACACAGTTTTGTGAGGTCATTTTTTGAGGCTAGTAGTGAAAAGCTTCATCGCCAAAGAGCAACATTTGGCAATAAATTAGTTCAGCTTGTTTCCACATGGCCCTCAAATCTTCATTTGTTCCATCATGAAAAACAAACTTTCATTTGCTTGAAGCAGGGAAAAATAAATGATTTTCTTTTGCACATTTTGACAATTTAATTTTTAGCATGCTTACATACTAATCATTAAAAAAAAAAAATTCCACTAACTCCTCTTTTGTCTGTTAAGCTTTAGCCTCTAAAGAAAAAAAATGCATTTTTAGCTTTTAACAGAAAGAGCCAGATTTTATCAAGGCAGCAACAGTCCAGGCCCAAAGAAAAATATATGTGACAACACATTATGAGTGAGGTGGGGAAAATGGCCTTTTCTGAGTATGAAGTGGATTAATATGCCTCAGATAACAACAACCTTATGGTATCGCTGTTGGAGGAGGCATGGTTGTGGAAAAGGTGACTGATCCCATTGGTAAGAACTATCACTTTTAATGATGACATTGGTGATATAACCCTATCAAAAATCATTAAGTTAGGAGGCAAAAAAACCAAAACCAAAGCTAATTAGAGTTGTTGGAAAGAGTACCTGGTTTACTATAGTTCCTATATATATGGTAATCAGGGTTTCTGCTGATAAGCCAGTAAAGTGTGGTGGGTGGTGGGTGGAGCAGTAATGATAATAATAGCTACCATGATTGAACACTTTTTAAGTGGTAGTCCTTGTTCTGAGAATTGGATATACCTAACCTCACTTAATTCTCTGAAGTAGGTAATATTATCTTTATTTTAAATGTGAAAAAATTGAGGTTTAAAGAGATTAACTTTACAAAGGTCACACAATTCTCTGATGCTAGAGAGACCTTCAACTATTATGCTAGAGCTGTATCAAACTGCTATTAAGAGGATGCTGGTTCATCACTTACTATTTATATGGCCTTGGGCAAATTATTTGACCTCCCTGAGTATCAGTTCTATAAACAGGCTATTCCTATTATTTAAATAAGATAATTCGTGTAGGACACTTAGTACCCCTAAAGAGTACATATTTGTTAGTTATTATTAAGATAAGAATGATTAGCTGATAATCAAATAATTAATAGAGATTTTTTGGTGTGTGTGTATGTTTTACTACTTTGATCACAGAAATGATGACCTTTATATTGCAGTTCCATGTAGCCATCAAAACTGATTCAAATGTTACCAATGCTATAAAAAAATTCTCTCTGAGCCTCCCAGTCATAGTTATCTCTCTTCAGTGCTAAGCCAGTGATTATGAACTGGGGGTAACTTTGCCCAGGAGGACACTTGGAAATGTTTGAAAACATTTTTTACTATCATACAGCGACAGCAGATGTTAGTGGCATTTAGTGAGTAAAGCCAAGGAGGCTATTACTAAATATCAACACATAGGACAGTCCCCCACAACAAATAATTATGTCCTAAAATAATCAGCAGTGCTTAGGTTGGGAAACCCTGTACTAAACTAAAGGCTTAAGGTATTTTTATGCCTTGATAAGAATTAGTTATGTATTTCACCATTATTTGGAGGCAGGGATTCAGTCTTGACTATCTTTTTACACTGAATTCAAATCACTACCAAGTCTTTCTTTATATCCATCTCTTTTACCTCAATAAACACCTTAGATTAATTAAAACATGAATTAACCAATAACTACAAAAGATAAAAACAGACATGCTAAATGAGAAAAATAATGTGAGAACTAATTTTTAAAATTTCTACCACCCATACCTTGCTCACTCTCATTTCTGATTCCATACAACTACCCCAAGTGACTCTGTAAGCCTTAGTATATTTTTTCATTGGACATAGAACAATATAACAGTTGAAAATAAACAATTCACATATGAATGTATATGGAAAAATGTTTTAACCATGCAAAATTTGACAATGTCAACTACAAACTTAACCAGCAGAATCAAACCACAAAGGAAAAGAAAGAGCAAAGACATTTTCAAGAAATGAGGCTCCAGCGAAACATGATCAGGGAAGACAAATGCTCGCATACCAAAACTGGTGTCTCAGTTAAAGCTCAGCTTTTTAAAATGTGATCTCCTTGGAAGCGAGGAGACACTGCTTTATTTAAAGTGCCTAAAGTGTCTGTATTCATTATCATATGTCAGCAACAATTCAAACAGGATTTTGTCAAGGAAGAAAATATGAATTTCTGTATTTTTTTCTCACCAATGGTATTTCCAACACCAAGTGGAAGGTTATTACACTGTAGGATGACTTTGCAGTGTAACAAATCTTGCTCACACCCAGGAAGGCTACTGTTACTATCCACTAATCGCTGTACCTCTAAATAAAACTTTGAAGAGCTATGTTCTGCGTTACTTGCAGAAAAAGCTAATATAAATTAGGTAGTTAATTGGTGCATCTAATTTCTGTGTGTGGCTTTCATTTTTATGCAGTACTCTCACATAATAACCTAACAAATATGTCCTTTGAAGTGGAATACTCTATTAGTTAACACAGATGTTTTCTTGAATTTTATTATGCTCATAAAAATTTCATAACATTCATAATAATAATACTATAAAATAATAATTTGCTGTGGTCAATAGCATGGGTAGTGGGAATAATGAAAATGGAAGTATTTCCCATGAAAGAGTGGATGGCGGCTCTAAGACAGAATAATGGTCACTTCTAAATGAGATTATTTCTATTTCAGTAATTGGTTCGCAGTTTGTAAACACATATTTTATGGATAATATTATTTATTTCCTGATCAAGCAATGCTATAATTAGATGAATTAAAGAATTACTCACCCAGTAGATCTGAGGCTCTCAAATTTTCTTTCAGAAACATAACAGAAATTATGGCACTACCTAGAAAGAAAGTGGCCATTAGTGGTATTTGCAATATAAAAACATGTATTATGCAAAGTCATTTCAAAGGAGTTAAGCAATTTATGCATTATGCCTGCCTAGCTGTGTCTTGCTCAGACACCATGCAGTGTGGCTGTTAAAATGAATTTTCTCTCTTTGTTACTCCTTAGTGATGTGACATGGAAACTGGTGTGGTTTACAAAGGACCGAGGACAATGCCTGTTGTAGTGCCCAGTTTACAGTGAGGGCTCAATATAAGTTTACTAAATGACTAAATGAATAAATGGGGGAAAAGAAGGCAGAAATGGAAGGAAAGGCAGAAAGAGAAGAAATGATGTAATGAAATCTTAACTTTAAATATATCCCAAATGGAAATACATTATATCCTATCATCTGCTCCTCCTATGATCTCTATTCCTACTCCTGTTCTACTGAGTACCAGAATCCTAGATCTCCTCTGAGTATCTTTTCTTCTTCTCACAGTACACAGACAACAGCTTCCTGGGTCTCTTTGTACTTCACTATCTGTCCTCCTCCACAGCACTCCACAGTAACTGTCCAGCTCAGCCCAGCTTCACCTGTGGCTTAGACCATTGTAACGTCCCCTTCCTCCCAGGAAGACCAAAGTAGTTTTTCTAAAATGCAAATTTAATAATAACCCACAGCTTTAGAATCTCTTAATGGCATCCTATTATCTACGGGACGAAAGTCAAACTCCTGAACATAACATTCAGGGACAACCATAATATACTTTTTCCTCCTACACACTGGTTTGGTCTTTTCCATATTCTATGCCCACTCTCAAAGAAGCATAATTCCCTAAATCATGACCATTTAGTTTCATGCTCAAGGACTTTTGTACTTGTGATTATTCCCTCTGTAAGTCTGCCTCTATCCTCTCTACCAGTTCCAGACTCACCCTCACCTCTGGATTTCCCAGGTGGAACCAGTAACCCCGCTCCTATGTATGATTACTCCCATAATAGAGCGTTTATCACACTAAGATTATTTGCCAGTCTTGCCCAAAGAACTATCAGTTTCTTTTATTCTGAGACAGGTCTTATTCTTCTATGCTCCCCAGTAATGGTGAGTACTTAGTATATAAACAAGAGAATGTTTGCAGGATCTGTGTCTGGCATTTGCTGACCTTCCTGATGTTTAAACTCTTTCTTCCTCCCGATGCTAGTGAATTCTCATGGTCATAACTGGGCTGTGGTCTGCTGCTAGGGCCTCTGGCTAGCTGGAAAGCTGAAACTCTGAGTTGTTCTTATGGAGCTATCCCTGTGAGAATAGGGCGTGGAAAACTACAAACTTGCAATAATACAAAAAATACACAACAGGCAGTTCTGCCTGCCTGTGACTATGCAGGTGACTCTCTTTTCCTTTTCCTAATAAACCTGTGCTTTTACAGTGTAAAAAAAAAAGTATAGCATACTTTGTGTTTTACATTTTAAATACAGACCACTACCTGTGTATTTTTAATTTTCCTTTTTAAAAATGAAAATACAGGACAGAAAAATCGTCAGAAAAGTTTCTTCAGAAAAGAATCTTATAGAGAAAACTGAAGTTAATACATTAGCATTTATTCCCTTCAGATAAAATCAAATTATAATGCAAAATTTCTTTTTTTGGTTTCCTTAGTTGATATATTGTAATTCCTTCATAAGTAAAAAGGAACTTCATAAATAAAATTTTAATGAGTTTGGAATAATAACCTGTTAAATCTGAATATAACTGTATCTGATATTCTTGGTAACTGACTTAAAACAAAGTAACATATTCACATCAGAATCCTTATTCAAGATAAGATGGGATCCTCATATATTTTCTCCAGCTTTCTTTCAATTTGGCTCTCTCTCAAGTTGAGCTATGTCTTTGCAAAAATTTTCTGGCATTTTATTGGAATGGTTTCACACTAAATTAAATAGCATGGGGAATGTCCAGTAAGCATGAATTTGATGGGATGGTATGGCTTCAAAACCTTTAAGCTATGTATTCTGTAGATAAGTTAATGAGCTTGACACAGATATAAACATATATGAAAATTTTGATTTCACATTTGGGTCAACATAATCACTGACTGCCTGTGAAATTGTGTAGGGAATGTTTCCAAGTGAAGAGACATCAATTAACAATAAAAAATAGGTGAAGTGTTGCTAAACTAACACATACCAAATACATTCCACTATAGCAATCTTTGAGGTGACTCTTCCACAGAACACATTCTAATAGGCAGTCACTGCTACATGGAATGCGGAAATCTTAAGAGCTAACAGGAGCCAGAGATAATCTACTCCAGGTCCTAAACTTTGTAACTGGGAAACTGAGATCCAAAGAGGTTGTCTGTTTACTCATTGCATTGATTCATTTAACAAACATTACAGTGGAGTTGGAATCTGCACCTGTATTTCCTTATTTTGAGTCTAGAGGTCTTTCTAGTATGAGACACTCCATTGGCTCCCTTGAAGAAGGACATCAGTTTATATTCTTTTGTTGATAAGCCAGTTTCATAAATAATTTCACTTTTAGAAGGAAGAGCAGGAAAGTACTGTACAGGAGGCAATTTTATAGCTAAAAACAATAGGATATGACTGTAATAATAAACTTCAAAAATTCTATCTGTATCAATTATAACAACTGTTATAAAATTTATGGTTATAAAATATAAATACGCTACTTTTACTCTCTACATTCATACTTCTGATGCAATTTTATACTTACTTTTTTCAGTTTTAAGAGAATATGAGTTTTTCTATAGAATTCTGAGATAGGAAAATGAGATTTTTAGTTTTATTTATCAAGTAAAGTAATAAAAAGGAATTTTCTAATAATATATATATATATATATATATATATATATATATATATATATACTCGTACTTCATTTATTTAAGAGAATATGAGTTTTTCTATAGAATTCTGAGATAGGAAAATGAGATTTTTAGTTTTATTTATCAAGTAAAGTAATAAAAAGGAATTTTCT